ATGTGTGGCTTACCTTAGGATACCTCATATGGCGTCAGATGTTTATGTGTGTGCACGTGAATCAAGCCCTAGATTTCCACTAACCATGTGAGAAACTCCTGGGTGTCCCAGATACCAACAGGGGACTGGCAAAGACAACTGGTAACTCAATATATCTATCTTGGTTAATGACACAGTAAGCTTTAATCATCCTTACACCAATCGTAAAACACTTTTTGAGGAGCTTTAAATTAAGAGCCTGCTCATAAATCCTTTATTCCCATTGCTGAGTCAGTATGAGACATATGCAGTCAGCTGAATGCAAGCAGGTACATACAAGTTCACATTAGAGTTGTGAGTAACATTTTTGTAATGTATGGGGTGGAAATACTGCTTGATGGCAGTCCAACAGACATAATCCTGACTCCTTTCCCTCTGGTTTTCTTGTAATTGTGAAGGCAGATGCTCCCATCCCAGAAGGAAGCTTATGGGAGTAAGCTGAAGTGAAGGAACATGGGGAGCAACTCATGTAAGCAAAAAATGCTGAAAAGAAAATCTGGGGCCCGAAGAGGGAGGAGTATGAAAAAGTGGCTGCATGAGTCGAAGGCCATGCCTGGTGTTTTCTCCCTAAATACTGGCACAGGAGCAAAACAAGTTTTAATCAGAATAGTTCACAGCCATTCTCCAACTATCCACCGCTCTTTGCAATTTGCGTGGTAAAGAATATGCACCAGAGAAAAAGCATGCCATTATGTGTAGTTGCTAAAGATAGAGTAACTAGATCAGGGAAGTAGAGAGTCACAAACAGCTGTCACTAGGACAGCTGCGTCAGCTCTGACTTGCGCCTTTGCATGTTTCTTCTGAACCAGGAACCATCTGAACCATTACAAGAATGATGCCAGAGGGATGTGAGTCAAGTGACTGGCATGACTCTTCGCATTCTTCAGGGGTATAAAAAAGGTGAAAAATAAGTAGCTTCATTTTGACTTCACATAATGTGGAGTGCTGCAGGATGTCCCACGCTCTGCACTGATGGTCCAGATCAGGCACCCTCTTGGGCAGCTACAGCAGTCAGAAAACTTCATCCCTCATTCTCTTTCTTCCATTTCTGAAATAGCACTAATTATAAATCAGCTGGCAAAGCCACCCATTTTGTGAGACGGCTGCTTTAGAACTAAGCTTGAAGAAAAGACAGTAATTGCTTTCCTGAGAAGCACCACGCATCTGTGCAGTTGCTGTAGGGCATTGGTTACACAATGCCACGCTTGTTTTTATCGGTGAGGAGGAGGTGTGCTTGTTGAATCCAGATTTACAAGGTCTGAATTCACATAAAGGATTTTAAAAGCTGAGACTGTATTAGTCACCGATGAGCACAATAATGATTTCTCTTCCAAGTGAGTCATATCTGTTCCCACTGACAATATAGGCATATTATTATTAGATTCTTTAATTCCATTAGTTTAATTCTGCAGTCAAACTGTCTGTATTGAAAGGGTAGCACTGTAAATGAAGCAAACCGCTCTACATTTTGTGAATTGGTGAAAGCAGGGTGGGAATGCTTTGTACAAAGAACTGCTGTATTTTCATGAGCTTTTGTGATCTTAAGCCTTCTCTAGAAGAAATTATTTGTAGCTGAGTTTATGAGACAGCTTATAAAGCACACAAACCACACTCTGAAATGACTCTAGGAAATCACTCACACAATTATATGCCCTGCACAGAGAAATACACAATAGTTCAATGTCACATTACCAATTTAATTCCTTGAGATCTGCAAGAATATACACACTGATATGTTAGACCCAAGTACAAAAACTGAACCCATGTGCCACAGTTGTCCTGCCTCTAAGAGAAACTGGAGGCTTCTGCAGTAACCCCCTCTTTGGTGGCTTCTGCTGGAAGCTTCTTGGTGTCCATGCCCCCAACTCTGCTTGAACTCCCATTCCAATTCCTACCTGCTGAGCTCCCCTCTTGGACCTTTAAACTTAGTTCATCCAGAGACTTTCTGTAAAAATAAGAGGCTCCATCAACTGAAACTTTTGCTTTAAACTGAGGGGAAATGCATGATGCATTTATATCAGATAGAGCTATATATATCAAATTCAGCCATACATGCATATGAAAATATCTAACTAGGACAGTGTAGAACACAGATGACTGAGCCTAATTCCCCTTTGCAACTAACAGAGAATTTCAGGAACTTTTAAAGCATGATTTGTTGGATCTACAGCTAACATCTATTCCACGTAAGATGAACTCTGCTGTAAAAGCTCCTGGTCCTCTCCATTAGCTATAAAATGAGCTTCTCGTAATCAGCTCAGAAATGTATATCCATAATCTACAACTGTCTATGGAATTCTGCCCATATGTTTACTCTCATTTGGCTTTTCTTTCACAGTAGAAATGGCCACAATTGAAGAATTATGCATTTTATCAAACCTTACGATTGAAATTAATCTTGTAACATTATTTGCAGCAGAGGGGCCTATATGTTCCCTTGCTCTGAAGCTAAGTGGCTGTATCAGAGTCTCTGTTTTCATTCAAAAGAAAAAAAAAAGATCAGTATACCACATCTGCAAGAAAAGTATGTAGAAACACGAGCAAAAACATCCTCTAGGAAAACAGACATTAAAAAAAAGTAGTTAGAAATTATTAGTGATTTTTTGGGGGGTCAAACTTCAATGTAAAACATTTAAAAAATTAAATGTTTTGTGGCTTTAAAAAGCCACACAAGTTTTAATATTTTGAGTCGTCAAAACTAGTGATTCTTTGCTGTCCTTCAGCCAAGTTGATGAAGTTATACAAGCTCTTTCTGCAAAGATTCAGTATGGTGTTAAATGAGTAAATCTTTGTTGCAGCAGTGTTCAGGCAGACTTTCAGTTTCTGTATGCTTCAGCTGAGCATGTTTATTTTTTCACCAAGTTAGATCATATGACAGGATACACAAGCCACATGAAGTGCTGCCAGCATGCATGATTTGACTGCAATTTTGCTACTTAATTTGGCATTTGGTTTTAAAAAAACCCACGGTCTAGCACAGAATGGCTTCTTCATGCAAAATCCTAAACAAAAGGCATATGAAAACACAAATCCATAGGGCATTTCTGATCACAAGCAGGAAGACGGGGCAGGCTGCTGCTCCGGACTAGCAACACTGACTGTGCAAGAGCTCTGCAGTGCCTGCTCCTTGTCTGCTAACATGCAGGGCTGGGAATTCATCCTGATTTCTGCCTGTATACTGGCTACCTCACAGGAATTGATGGTTCACCTGGAAGCATTCACCTGCATCCTAGCTTTGAACTAACAATACAGCTGGTAATGAAAGCGGTCCTGTACTGCTAGCTCTGCACAATTCCACCAGGTGATGGCCCCAGCACACAGCCAGGCCACAAGGTAGCTTACTTAAATGGGGAAAATGTGTACCTCTGTCCTACCAGTGAATTTAAGTTACTTACAACTTAAGTCTATTCAGCTTATTTTCAATAATGCTTAGCTGTCCTGTGGGTGCAGTGACTGAGTTCTTTCTTTTTTTTTTTTAACAAAAAGCCCAAGTTTCATGTTAACTGCAGGTGCTTCCTCCTTGCAATACACAAAATGACACTGTAAGTGCAGCCAGGGTCAAAGACCAGAGCCCAGAAGGGAAAGCTTAAATCCACATTATTCTTAACTAGTTCACAATAACTATCACTTCTCAATTCATGCCATTATTCACATTATAATAACACTTTAAAATTTACCTTCTGTCAAAATAGATCCCAGAACTTTTTACATGGAAGCCCAGATTTCCAAATGCACAATACTGCTCTCCCACTTTGGGCCAGGGCAAGGTCTAGTCACAGGTGGTCCCAGAGCCCTTCTCCTGCTGTATAGCACGATGGCTCTGGCAAACAAGGGAAGATGGGACATAGTTCCTAAGACTGACCAACATCCTTGCAAATGTGGCACCTATTGCCTGCACCTTACCATCTCCAGCAGTCAGATCAGCAGTTAGCCAGACATGCTGGAACACCATCAAGAATTGTTGGCCATTAAATGTACCCTGGGGTGCTTTTGGTGTAAGAGGGAACCCTAATGTCTGATGCAATCCCTTCCCTTCTACTATATGCATTACTTAGGCTTTACATTATTTGTATTGCTGTGGCCTGTGAAGAGGAAGACCTCTTTGCCCCTTTGAAAATTCAGCTCATTAAGGTGAAGTTGCTTTATTTATTGCTGTTATCACAACATCACTATGCAACAGAACACAAAGGGAAGAGTAATGCCTTGTTTTGCAATTCTGGTAACACAAAGAGGGGGGAAAAAATGACTGGTTTTGTTTACAACCGTTCTCCACTGCTGTTCAGTCAAAGAAAGAAAAGAGAACTAAGATAGCAAAGCATGAAAAAAAATGTTTCTTCAAGATGAACAGGAACAATGTAAAAGTAACTTAGATGAAATTAAGAATCTAGAGACAAGAATTAGTGAGGTAAAGACAGGAGTTTCAAGTTTATGTTGTTGAAGACAACATAAAAGCTCACTGATTCTTATTTACAGCTTGTACTGAATCAAAAGGAATCAGAGACTGTGGAGATTATGACCACTATAATTTGCATATTTCCTTAGGTACGAATTCTTAAAAGCGCTATCCCAAGTGTAGTGTGGCTGTAACAAGGGGGCAAGGAAACCAAAGTTGTACCTACAAATACTCCCCCGCCACTGTGGCACGGAAAAGCTTGCCCGCGGAGCCGCTGTTCTGCTGTGGGGACCGAGTGTTGCCCACTGCTGGTGGAAACTGGCTGCTTCTCCCACGCTACGACAGAGAAGGACGAGCGCCCTACGCATCTTAACCTCTGCGACACAACCACAGGAACCTTCACCGCCCACCGCCGCGACCTGCCTTTCCCCCGCGGGCGCACCGCCCCCGCCCGGCTGCACTGCCGGCTCCCAGCCCCGGCTGCGGGGCGGGACAACGAGGCCCAGGGGCGGTGCCGGCGCGGCAGGTGCCACCCTCCGCGGTCACGGCGGGGCCGGCGGCGGCGCTGCCACGTCAGGGGAGTTTCCCGAGGCGAGGCGAGGCGGGCTGGGTCCGGTCTTTCTCCTCCTCCATCCCCTACCCTCGTCTCCGCTGCTGGAGACGCTGAGGAAGGAGCGAGCGGCGGTGCCCGCTGCCATGGAGGCCCGGTACAACCTCAAGAGTCCGGGTAGGAGACGCGGCAGGCCCCAGCGGGTGCTAGGGAGGCCGCAGCCGGGCGGGGCTGCGCGGCTGCAGGCTGTCGAGGCCTCCGCCATTCGCGGCGGGCGGTGTGCCCGCCCCGGGGCCGCTGCTGCTCACCTGGGGCCGGCGGTCGCCTCCCGGGGCGCGGGGGGACAGGTGCTTCAACCCGGGCCGGGGCGGCGGTGCGGAGGAAGGATGAGGCCCTGGGCTCCGGCGATGGCCGCGGGGAGGTGGAGGCGCTTAGGCGGCAGGCGGCTGGGTCGCTTCTGCTTCGCGGTGTGATGGCATTGGAAAGTCCCTCTGAGCTGTAATTCGGTTTAGAACGCTCAGGCTCCCTGCTCTGTGTGTATGTGTACGTGTTGTCACTCTTTCCTGCTGGTTCGTGGAAGCAGAACCTTTGAACTTGTACTCTGTTCTCTTGGGTATTGTTTCATTTCTGAGTAGGTGCTTGTGAGGGGACAGATTGCCAACGATAGCTTAGTGTGTGCTGCGTAAATTTGCTTTACGTCAGTGTTACTGTACACACTGTATTTACATGTATGTGTGTATATGGGATTGTTAGAATTCATACCTTATAACTCCTAGACTTTCTGTTGAATCCTTGAAGTGAGAGGAGTGCGTCAGAATGTGGCAGACGTCTTGAGAAACAGTGCTGGAAGGGAAGGGTTTGCTTCCTGGGAAGAGAAACTGAGTATGGGTTGGGTTTGTCCCATACAGCTGTGTTGGAGCCATGGCCCCTCACCAGCTGTGCAGGGCTTCACCTCTTGCGAGCTGCATGCTGTCACTGCTGAAGGAAAACCCTCTTCCATAACTTGTAAGGGCCAGTTGGGTTTGCATGGTGGCTCCTGACCTGCCCCTGCTTTCCCCCAGTCGAGTTTTGGGAAGTAGGTATTAACTCCTTCATATTACTATTTTGAGTAGTGGCTTTATTCTTTAATCATGCTGTGCTATTACTAGTATGGGCAGTGGGGAGAAGCTGAGTGTTAAGATGACTTGTACCTTACAAATGTAAATGACAGGCTTATTTACAAAATATGCCTCGTGGATGATGTATCTATTGCTAAATTATGTCCTTTGCCCTCACACCCATGTTGCATAACTGAAAGATAAGAAGGATCACAAAGCAAATGATGTACTTGTTATAGTTTAATGTATTAGAAAGGAAGCTTTGTTTTTGTTTTGTTGGCATTTTTTGTTTGTTTTAGGGAGATATGCTTGGCGTGTTGCATGTGTGAATTCAGGAGGCCACGGGTGCATGCTAAGTGTGGTTTGCCATGTTATTGGAAGTAGTGGTGGTGTGCTGTATGACATGCTTTCCGATTGGAGAGGGTAAATAGTTGTGGTTTAATTTAGAAATGTTCTGCCCTTCTGTTATTCCTAGTCTCCCCCTTGTTTTAAAGAGAAAATTACCTTTACTGGAAGTGGTTGTCAGCACCTCTGCTGTTCTACAGCAAAGTGAACCATATTTGGCGGAGATGAATGATTCATGCAGTGGGTCAGTATCGCTTCCCCAAATTAAACATGCTCTATAGCATATTAATATATTGGATTATTTCTTTCCATATAGATGCTGAAAATCTATGGAGACTTTAAAAGTGATTTAAATAATTTATAATGTGATTTAAAGCACTCATTTCAGTTCTCAATATGCATGACATTTTTCAGAAAAGAAAGATGGGCAGGGAGGTGTTGAATAAATATCAAAAAAGATTTAAAGTAAATAGTTTCTTCAGCAGTTGTTGTCCACTGAAATGAGTTGGCTGTAATTATGTATAGCCATTGCTTTTAGTGCAGCACTTTTCTTGCTACCCGGGTAGATAAGCATATGCAATTACTTAATATTTTTGTGTCTGTTTTACAAATGTGCAATTTAATGATGGTATCTATCTTACACTTGCTACTCAACTGAAGGCATGAGATGGACATGTAGATCGTTCTGATATTAAGGTGGTCTTTACTGATGTAAATGCACTGAAATGCATAAAGCCAAACCCATACCATGTTTCCTATTTCACATGGTTGTGTCGTCTGCAGATGGAAGGGATTATTTTGGTGACTGAGCTCTCTAAAGGCTTTAGAACTGGTAGCTGTCCCTTGTGCCTGTTCTTGTTGCTCTGACTTGACTAGAGGAAGAATCAAGCTGCTAACCTTTAGATCCTGGTCAGCTTTAGGGATTTGGAATGTGCTATCTTGAGACAGAGTGAAAAAAGTAATTGTTTCGTACCTGCACAAGAAGCTTCTTCTGTTCAGACCTGCTTTTGGACTTGAGCAAACTCTGTTTGCAGATGGTGACTTTTTGCTTGCTCAGCAGAAAGAGCAAATACTACTTTCAGTTTTAGTATAAGGTATTTTAATGATTATACTAGTCTTTACCATAGAGGAAAACACATCTTAAATTGGAAAATCTTGTTAAAAGAAACCTGTGGTTTTATTGATCTTCCTTTCAAGCCAGACTCTGTTGTAGAGCAGTGACAGGAGCTGAAGTTTTTCTGTAGTTACACATGGCTACATGGATCCCTATTATGTGAGTAGGCGTGCTGTGCCAGATTGATGAGGATCAGTTAAGCTCTCTAGTGCCTTTCTTTCTGTGTGCTTTCAAATAGACCACATAAAGAACAGTGTTGCTACACAGCTTTATTCTGCTCTAATAGCTCCTGGTCAATATATTCATCATCTTCCTTGTTCCATTTTCTTCAGCTAATGTTAGTTTAAACAAACGTATCTGAAAGATGGAAACTCTCCACAATGTGAAACAACTTGTTCCCCTGCACGCTGTGTCTCTGTTGATGAGAAGCAACACAGCTGGCGTCCTTAGCAGGTCTCAGTTTACTGTAGGTAGGTACACGTCCTCACCACTGCAGGTCTGGGCTTGGTGAGGGTGGTGTGCTAAGCTGCTGCTTGGCTCTATCAGTTACCCTCTGTGAGAGCAAGAAGGTATAGTGGCGTTCACCTGAAGCTGTCTCCTCACACCATCTGTCAATATGTCTTTATTTCTTCTCCAAAAGACGATTAATTTTGGAAGGGAAGAAATTTTCAAACTCTATGCTTCATGCTTCTTTGTATTGCTTCAATAAGGCAAAGCCTTTTAAGCTGTTGCTTCATATTTTTATTTGTATTTTTGGCACTTGTAAAAGGGCAAGCTATTTTCTGTCTTAGGATTTCAAAATGGATTAGTCAGTGTATATCAGCCTGCTACCATATGGCTGATAAACCTCTTCCGTCAATATTAAAGTTTGGATGACTGAAGCACAGACTTCATCCTCTTCATGCTTCAGGAACAACCCTATTTTCTGAAATTTATGAGAGAGATATTTGGAATAATCTCTTTACTTTTTTTCCTAAGAGTTGCGACCCTTAGCCTGCTGCAAGATCAGCCACCATATCTCGTAGTCAATGTTTTGTAGTAACAATCTCTCCCTTTCAGGTAGGACATTACGGTTACTGAAAAACTGAACAGCCACTTAAAGTGACTCATGTAGAGACTATGAACAACTGTGCTGTTTTATTTTAGTTTCAACACTGTTTTTATTTTGTTTTCAGCTGACCTCCTCACCTAGAATTAGACTAGTGAGGGCACTGGAGGTCTGGGGAGAGCATGTAGAGGGAGGCATGGTGTGTATGCCCTCCATTTGCTGCCCAGGGCTTTTGGTTTCTGACTGATAATGTGCTGAGATTGTGATCCTCTTAGCTGTCATCTTCAGGACATTTACTGCCTTTCCTACAAGCTACGCTTCCTTCTCCACTCCATACAAGTAAGAAATGTTCCTTGTCAGCAAGCATGCATCGGTTCTTTGTTGTTAAAAAATGGTTTGTAGGAAATAGCCAGTAAGTACTGTGCTGCTTAGTACTTTCCAGGTATGAAATAGATTTTGTAAAAATAAAAAGTTGAGTGGATGTTAAAAATTGATTAAGGATGAAGACATTGTTACATGTTGGTGCATTCAGCAAGCACCTTACATTTGTTTTATCTCCCTTTGTGTTGACTGAACAGTTGTTTTGAATTATAACTACAGAAGAGTACTGTACTTCCTGCTGCTCTGAGGGAAGCGAGGACTAAACACCTGTCAGTTCTGAAAGAGAGTGGACTAATAAAAATTTGTTTCATTGTTTACAGTTGTGAATACTTTATGTAAGTACAGGAGGCTTGTGGGTCTTGCAGAAGGATAGCATGAGGCTGATAAGATGTAAAGCAGCTATTCAGGAGGCTTGGGGGTCTTGGGAAAGGCCCTTGGCCATGTCAAAGTAACTATCAAACCAAATTTTAAAATAAAAGCAATTTTGGAACCCATGGTTGGCCCAGGCGGTTGTGCAGTTCTGTCATCATACACTTCAGTTTTGTAGGAGCAAGTGTTTTGTCTTGTTACATGTGATCAGCGTAAAATGGGAACTTGACTAGTGGAAAACATCACGGAAGCAGCGAATAATGAGGAACTTAATTGTTTCCACTTGCATTTAGTTAGAAAAGTAATTATCTAGTATGGAGACATGGTGTTCTACAGATTGTGGTATTTGGAATAACGAAACTATGGTAGATTTTGGTAGAGATGACTTTAAAATGGTGATGCTGATCACCCAGAACTGAAGTTTTAACTATTTTGCCCATTCCTCTAGTGCTGGAGGATGTAGGTTTGATAAGGTGGTCACTAGTGGTATGGGAAGGATCAATAGTGTTATGGGTTTCTTCCACTGCTGGCTTCCTTGTTCCAAAAGACTGAAAAATCTGGAAATCTTTGCATGGCCTGTTAAAAGGATGCCTGTTTCTACATACCCCTGTTGCTGAACTGTCAGAGCACTGTCCCATCATAAACTGAGCAGTAAGGAATGCTTTGTAAAAGAGCTTTAAAGAAACAGAATATGAAGTATGTTCTCCTCATCAGTGGTTTAAGGGCTTGCCCAACTGGCAGTTTCATCTCTCTTCAAGGATTTTGTTTTGGATGGATGTGACTAGGACTTGTTGTTCTGAAGGATCAGGTATCATTGCATAATGAAATTTTAAATGTGGTCATGATTAAAGATTAAGTGACTGTAAACTGCTGTGCAAAATTTTATGAAAGTACAGGGTGTTGGAACTGGATAATCTTAAGGTCCTTTCCACTGTAACTATTCCATGATTCTGTATTTTTGTGAAATGGCATACAAAAATATATACAGGAACTCGAAAATCTATCTAAAGACAGATGTGAACTAAGGTTAAGAAAGTCAGGGCAAAATGAATAAACATGAAGAATGCAGAGGTAGAGGAAAAGAGCATTAGTAATGTGGACCTCACTTGAAAGTTTGGTAATGTGGTTTTGTTTCTAGAGTAGGTACCATTTGATACTCTATTCTGCTAAAGGATTCTAATTTATATATATTTCAGGGTACTTCTGGCTGAAGCCTCTGCTATGACTCTGCTTTAAATGTTTTCTTGCATGCTTTAGTGACCACATCACTTAAAGGGATTTTTTTTTTTTTTGACTTAAAATGTCAAAGCTCATCAGTGTTGTATTACAAGAAATCATATGTACTTTACACGGAAGTGAATCCTGACTTAAATTGCATGGTCCAGTCTTTGTGAAGTTGAACTGCTGACTGCCTGTGATTCACTGTTATGTGAAATTAGGGATTTTATTTTGAATGCAAATACAGGCACTTTGATCGAATGAGTTCCCAGGTGCTTTAGGCTGCTGCAAGGGCTGGTTGTGGTGGTGGTTCAGCAGGTGACACTGTGAGCTCAGTGGGTTACACCCACCATGGGTCAGAGACTCTTGACTCAGTGGTCGGGTATTGAGCAGAGGGGGAAATCTCAAGGCCAGCTGGATTTAAAAAAGACTTTCCCAAAGTGTCATCCATGACGCATGTGTCATCTAATTGAAGGGCCTTGATGCTCAATTCAAATTGATTCTGTGGTTTCAAACTTTTTATTTTTCTAATATTGTGTAATATTTTTCAAAGTTGTACTTAATAGCATTATTAATAGACAAGCACATAATGAATTTGACTTGTACTTTACTAATAGCTTAAGTGGGCAGAGTAGTTATAAACCCCTTTATCCCAGAGAAACTTTGCACGAGTTCCACTAATTCATTGGAAAACCTGGATTTAATAAGTAAATTGTACCCTTACCTATGCTGTTTTTGGTCAGTAACTTTGGACAAAATTACTCTTTTTTCTGTATTTATCCTGAGTAGACCTCTAAATCTTACTTAAAATGAAGAAAAAAAAAATGGCAGCCATTAAAAAAATAAAAAAGTAAAAAGCATTTGCTGAAGCAGTAAAAGTTGTCAGCTTGTTATATTCTTTTTTCTGAGATCAGATAAGCCAGCTTGAAAGGTTAAGAGATCTCCAGCTTTATGCCAGCTGGTTTGGGCTCCTTTGTTTATTATGTCCTTTCTCAAACAGAAGAACTGCAAATTGGTAGAGTGGAATGGTTGGTATCCATTTGAGGAAAATGCTGTCATGCACAACCCATATCACTTAAATATGAATTTGTTTCACTGCAGTCATCTTCATGTGCACAAAATGCTGTCCCTTCGTGTGAAGTACTAGGGGCTGAGCCTTGCTGAACTGATACCTCCTAACTTGGGTTTGATTAGTGTCACCCACCTCACCTCTAACCATGTTATCCAAGAGAAGCAGTTGTGTTGAACAGAAATTTCAGGATAGCTTAAAGTAAACTTGAATAAGAACTAGGAGTTTACCAGGGAACTATTTTTGAAAGAAATAAATCTAAAAATCACACATGCATATATTACACAAATTTTGCTCATTAATTGTTATGCCACCACCGCTTAATCCTTAGGGAAGCTGGTGGCTTTAAAACTGATTCTCAGAATTTTAACATAGCATTTTGCTTTTCAGAAGAATTTGGTCAGTTTTGTGTAATATAAGAGCCAGATTGTCAGGCAGAGCCTCTGACCCATAGCACCCGTTCTTCCTTTTGTTCCCCAGAGCAGTGGAGAGATCCTTCACCTCCTCCCAGGACAGAAACTTTACTCTCAAGAGTCAGCCCAGAAGCTTAATTTCCTCAGCATGTAATTTCAGTGATCATTATGATAAATTGTTGCCTATGAGTGTATCTGTGAAAGCATGGTTATTTATCATGCTGACTGTCATGCCACATAAAAAAGTACCTTGATTATTTTGTCTCAAAAACCTGGCTTTGAAAAATAGAATGTCTTGATTTGAAATTTGTTTTGTCTGAATTAGTGATACTTTCTGACTATTGACAATTCGTAATTCTTCATTTTGAATAGACCCAAACCAGTCTTATTTTTCAGAATTGCCATTGCTAAATGTTTGCTCAGATGACTCAGTGTGATTTTAAGTGGGTTGAAATACCATATTTTGCATCAAAGTTCATTTTAATGAAGTTTAGAAACGAATGTTATGTACTTGTTGCAGGCAGACTTTGTGAATTATGGTGGGTTTGGCTTTTTTTTTTTAATCTGTTGCAGCTTTCACTAGCCAAAGAAGGAGCTGTGGTAATGAATGCTGCAGCTATGCTTAAAGAAGGAACAGTTTAATGACCTCTTCACTGGATCACACATTCTTAGAATGAACTTACTGGTTCAGACTGTTCTTTGTGTCCTGTCAGTTGACATTCTGGGGCATGGAAACAGAATCATAGAATGGTTTGGGTTGGAAGGGACCTTAAAGTTCATCCAGTTCCAGCCCTTCTGTCATGAACAGGGACACCTCACACTAGGTTGCTCAAAGCCCCGACCAGCCTGGCCTTGAACACTGCCGGGGGGAGCAGCCACAGCTTCTCTGGGCAACCTGTGCCAGTGCCTCACCACCCTCATAGTGACAAATTTCTTCCTAATGTCCAGTCTAAACCTACCCTCTTTCTGTTTAAAACCATTTCACCATGTCCTGTCACTACAGGCTGTGGTAAAAAGTCTGTCTTACAAGTCCCTCTTAAGTATTGGAAGACCTAGTAAAGTCTCTCTGGAGTCTTCTATTTAGGCTGAACAGCCCTACCTCTCAGACTTTCTTCATAGACTTGTGCTTCTTAAGATACTCTAGGTTGCTTAATACTAAAAACTTCTTACAAGCAAGTTATTTCTATTCCACTAAAGCTACATTATGTATTTTGCTGTATTTCTTGCTCTGAGAGTGGAATAATGTTTCATATTCTTTCAGCATTTTATGCTGGCTTAAGATGTTTATAGTCTGGCTTCTTGATAATAAGCTAATGCTGTGAAAAAATACATACAATATCACTGTCAATTAAATACAAAAATATGTGTCAAAAATACATACTTTAAACTTCTTCCACTTAAAATTCTACTTGACAGGACCCCACTTGCTGGTTGTCCCCACCTGGCTGCTGTTACTTCTCAATGCAAACCCTTGATTCTGTTTCTGCCTGCCAGCCACTGGCACTTACACCCAGGGTACAGCCTTGGAGCTATGCGGTCAAAAGGCTGTTTCTTTCGAGACAAATCCGATGTGCACTGCCAAAGATCCTGTGTGCAGTTTTATGCTGCTAGGCTGGGTACAAACCCTTTCTCTGAGTGTCAGTAAATGAAAAACTACTTTAGGTCCAGTGTTCATTGTTGAGAAAATCTGTGACCATGCAACATATTTTTCATAACTTTGTGCTTGTGTAATTCACTTAAGATTTATTCAATGTGAGTAGTTTGTATTGTGTCTTGGATCGTAACTCCAGTGCAGAAGCTGGTATGTGCTAGAAAAGATTAGTTAGCTGAAAGGGGCTCTTCAAGAACTGCTTATGTATTTTTGTATGCAAAACATGTAAATTTGTCTTTATTTTCATGCCTTAAACTTTTGCTTTTTCAGCTGTCAAGCGTTTGATGAAGGAGGCTGCAGAGCTGAAGGATCCTACAGATCATTATCATGCACAGCCTTTGGAGGTTTGTTTCTCTATGTGTTTGCAAGAGCTTGTAATTAGGCTAAGTTCTCTGTGTGCATATGTATTTAAAATGTACATATTTAAGTACTAGCAGACCTTTTAACCATGGTTCAGCTATCTTTTACCTATGATGAAAATCAGAAGCAGAATTCCACTTTAATGGTATTGTAGTTCCAGGTTGTTGGTGAAAGTACATACTATCCATTTTACACTGCATCTGAGTAATTTTATTGCACAGTTATAATATGTTTGTTCCACTTCCTCCTTCCTGAGACTGCATAAATGCATTATGTTTAAGTTAAGCTTTTTATACTGTCATTTTTTAAACCCAGCCAGACAGCTTGTTCACTCACTTCCCCCCCCTTCTTGCCCTCCCCCTACTCCCAGAGGGACGGAGAGGAGAATCGAAAAGAATGCAACTCCCACGGGCTGAGATAAGAACAGTTTAGTAACTAAGGTATAACACAAATCACTACTGCTACCACCAGTAATAATAATGATAAAGGAAATAAAAAGGGAAGAGAATACAACACCTCGCCACCAGCCGACCAATAACTCGCACCTCCCCTCCCAGCACCGATCGATACCTCTTCCAACCCCGCAGTCCTAGCCCTTCCAGGTAACTCTCAGTTACATCCTGGGCATGACGTGCTGTGGTATGGAATACCTCTTTGGCTAGCTTGGGTCAGGTGTCCTGTCTCTGCTTCCTCCTGGCTTCCCCTCCTCCCTGGCAGAGCATGAGGCTCACAAAGTCCTTGGCCAAACCAAAACATCCTTGTTATCAGCTCTGTTCCCGAGCTGAAAGTCAAAACGCTGCACTGCACCAGCTACCAAGAAGGAGAAAAATAACTGCTACTGCTGAACCCAGGACATATACCCAAACCTGACATCTGGCTCAGTTGATGAGTTGCTTAACAAAACACTTGGGCCTAGGTGATCTATGAGGATTTTGCATATGAAAACACCTGTGAAAAAGCATCTCTGGATGCATTATAAGAGAGACTGCTTATATTCCACTTAAACAGTAGTTTCTTGAAGTCTTCTGAACACCCAGTTAATTTTTTGGGCTGAGAGGACAGTGAAGTTCTGGTAGCTAAATGCTAAGCAGAAGCCCCTTCTAATTTCCCTGGAATAATAAAAAAAGCCCTGTTCTGTGGTATTCAGCTCAAGGTTTGATTTAACTTCATAGAAATGCATAGCACACTTAGTATGCATATGGAAAATAGGTACTACAGAATGTACTTTATTATTGACTAGTTTTTGACTGCACCTTGTGTTTCCCCTTCCTGTGGAGAAATGTGAGGTTTGATTCATGCTATTGCTTGTAACTTACATGAAGGTCTTATTTCTGAGTTAGAACAGTGAGTTGCTGGGAAGAGAGCAGCAGCAGATGAAAGGAAATGCTGGAAATGTTGATGACTCCTATCCCTGAAAAAGTTGTAACTAGCTTGGCAGTCACACCCATGTGATAGCAGTGTTCAGCTAGTTGAGAGCTCTCATTTACTGACAACAAGCCTCATTTGCACTCCTGTCCTAACAGTAGGAGTTGTTCTGCTTGTTAAGTATTCAGTGTGGGCAGCATGAGATCTGATACACAAAGCAAAACACAGAACTCCAGAGAAATAGTGCTCGAAGAGAAGTTAGTTACATGTCTCATGAAAATGATATTCAGAATTTCAAAGTGTACCTGTTGTGCAGTAAGGCACAATAGCTGTTTCAAAATTGTTTATGGACAAGCAAAAGAGGATGGGAATTCTCTGGGGCGTTAGTCAAGTCCCAGTGCTGAGTTGGCCATGGAAGGGGCTTTGGAGAGACTTGTTAATGTTCTTCCTTGAGTAGGTCTCCATCAGTTGACCAGAAATTATTACTCACTGGGTCAAAGACCTAGTTTTCCCTTAGTTGACTGTGTTTTCCATCTGTTGGTTAATAAAACTCTTGTCATAATTAACACAACTAGAATGAAGAGCTTGAATAATGAATTTGGGGGTTTCAACAAAGCCGTCATGTAAGAAAATTACCAGAAATCGACATTATTTTATCCTCTTAACCAGAAACTTAGTACTGTGTTGGTTGTCTTACTCTTCATTTGATTTTGATTTCTTAAAACTTATGTGTGCACTATTTCTTTAACATGTCCTTATTCAAGAAAATGGTGTTTAGTTGTCTACTTCTTTGATAACACTCTCTTTCTGTTTTTTGGTCTTCCCTTTGTTGGGGGTGTTTTAGGATAATCTTTTTGAATGGCACTTTACTGTTAGAGGCCCTCCAGATTCAGATTTTGATGGAGGGATTTATCACGGGCGAATTGTACTACCACCTGAATATCCCATGAAACCACCCAGCATTATTTTGCTGACGGTAAGCATGTTTACTAGTTTCTTCTTTTTACATCATCAGTTTAACTGTAGGTGTCTGAGAGGGAGATTCTTGGAATTCAAGGTAGTTTTTGTAAGAAAGGTGGTATAGTACAGTTAATGCTGCCAACTTAAGACCAGAAGTCTTTCAAAGTGACTTTGGTATTCTGTAATTGCATGTAACTTTGAACCTAATAAATATAAGTTTTCTTCAGGAGTAATGACATTGCTGATTGATTGTCTAATCTTCTGTGCTCTCTATGGGCCTGCTTGGTCTCTGTTGGAGACGTTGGTCATGTGTAGTTTGGGACAAAGGCCTGCAGTTGTGCCTGGTTTCATAGAGCTGTAGCTTATCAAGCTGTCTGCATGTTGTATGTGGGTTACAAGAGCAACAGGCAAGCCACCATGTTACACTGGGACGTGAGGTATCAGGGTTTCTTCATGCATAAATAGAGGCAGATGGCAGACTTTGTTCAGAAGGCTGAATGACAGTTTTGTGAGGTTGACAGTAATGTCATTTTCAAGTGTTGTTTGCATATAGATTTGTTTGATCAGGATTTTTACAGTATGTACCAAAACCCAAGAGCTAACTTCCAGCATGTTTTATTGTATCCTCCTTCTTCCTTTGAAGGCCAATGGCAGGTTTGAAGTGGGGAAGAAAATTTGTTTAAGCATTTCAGGGCATCATCCTGAAACGTGGCAACCATCATGGAGTAGTAAGTAATATTTATTTGGAGAATGTTAAGCCCAACAAACAACTAGATTTTTAAACTGAAAAAATCTCACAAAGAATATTTATAGTGGAAAAGCTCAAGAATTTTGAGAGAGTGAAAGTCTGGGAGTATTCAGGAAATGTAAAGTCATAAAGGAGTGACATAGGAGGATTTGGGAATGGTATTAAATAATTATGGGGTGAAGGGGCTAAGAAACTGAGGGGAAGTGGTAAGCTTTTATTTATTTGGATGCCCAAGCATTAAGAATTCTCAGACTACTTAAAATATTCTTTGGTTTTGTTTTGTTGTGGGTTTTTTCAATTGTTCTTATGAAAATACTTTACATCCTAATGACCCCCTTTTTGAATAATTACTAAAACCAGCTGAATAGAGGGGATTGTGGTCAGCTTTTAATTTTGATGCTCTAATTCTGGACATTCAGGAAGACAGACACGTGGTCTGAGTTCAAAGTAACTGAATGTTTCTACATTTGGCTTTTTTTTTTTTTTTATGTTTCATTATTACAGGAATGGAGAATGGGTACAGTTCATCCAAGGCAGTATTTTTGTGTTTATAATTTTAGTTTTGCCAAGTACAGTACATAAGTTACTTCTTTGGATATCAGTTGCATGTTTAAAATATGTTGATAAAGTCTTAGAAATTTTCTATCAGACCGCTCTTCAACTTTTGTAAAGTCTCTTATGGTCTTTTTAAAGAGTAGAAAATACTGTCTTCTAAATAAGGGGTGTAAACATCCTATCTCTATTTTGTGGTACTTATATTCATGTGATACTAAATCTGCTTGCAAGATGTCTTGAATTCTTAAATATCATAACTATATAAAACAAAATTGAAGGACAGATGTTGTCAGAGGTGTTTTGGATGGCAGCTCAGTTTGGATGAGGTGTTATTAGTATTTAAGTAAGCTCCTTCCCTGGCATGATGACATAAAAGGAACAAATTCTGTGGTACATTGCATAGGAGAGAGCCACTGAGCTTGTGAGCACTAAGTTGCAGAATTCATGTCTAATAGAAGAAAATGCACGTGTGTGAACACACACCCACACACAAAACAAAACAAAAAAAACCCTAATCAATCCCCATCTTCTTTCTTCCCTCCTCACCCACAATTTATATGTTAATTCTGTTTTACCATTTTTTCTTCAGAACCCATTTTTAAAGTCTGGATTTCTAATCTTTATATTGATGCAAGATTTTTCTGACAATTTTTCTTTTCTGTGTTGGTTGATGGAAGAATAAGGCATTTCATTTATAATGAGAAGTCTGAAAAATGAACAAAGCCTTGCTATGTACCAAAAAACCCTAGTGGTGCTTGTATGAAATCCAGATTATGCCCTTGGACAAAATGAAGTTTTGCAGGCAGAACTGCAACTTTTCTGTATTGAGTGTAATGTGAGATGACATAATAGTTGTTTCTCCAATCCTGTTTGTATCTCTGTTTTCCCATTTTAGTAAGAACAGCTTTACTAGCCATTATTGGATTTATGCCAACCAAAGGTGAAGGAGCAATAGGATCTCTGGATTATACTCCAGAAGAAAGAAGAGCTCTTGCAAAGAAGTAAGTACTGAGCTCGTTAATGTAGGTACATACATATGTACTTTCTTTTAGGGTTAAGCATTGAGTAGAAAGTAAAGTCACTTCAGTCTGTTCTCTTTCATTTATTCCAAATATAAAAAAAAGTTTTCTGCCTTGTGTGTTTGTATATTTTATATGTGTATATATATATATATGTATATATATATAAGTTTGGGATTTTTCTTTCTGAGCATTGTGCAAACTCTGAACTTATTGTCAAACAAAATACTTTCAGAGGGCTGTGTTCCTTTCAGCATTGTGTAGTCAAAGTTAGAGCTTCATCTGAAATTCAGGTATAGAGATGTAATTAACATTGCGATACAGTGGTAATTGCAGCATGTGGGGAAAATGAGCATGTTGTTACTAAGTGTAGGTAGGGGAGAAAATAACCGAGACAATGATGCATCGTGTCCCTTAAGGCAATAATAATACTACAACAATAAAAAAAATCTGGAGCAGCTGCTTCTAAATGATTTTTAGGAAATTAACTTAAAATTAGATTTGTGAACGTGATGAAATTATTAACACCAAAAGCCCTTGTACACCAAGTTACCTTCCTTATCATGCTCTTAGAGAAGAAACTCATGAAGTACAGCCTAGGTCAGTGGGAACAGTAAAGTGGATTAAGGACTGGCTGAACTGCCTAGCTCAAAGGATTGTGGTAAGCAGCGCAAAATCCAGCTGCAGGCTAGACACTGCTGGTGTACTCTAGGGGTCAGTACTGGGCCAGTGCTATTCAATGTCATTCGTGACCTGGATGATTGGGTAGAGTGCACCCTCAGCAAGTTTGCCGATGATACAAATCTGGGAGGAGTGGTTGATACACCAGAAGGTTGTGCTGCCATCCAGAGGAATTTCAACGGGCTGGAGGAATCTCAGCCTCAACGAAGAGAAGAGCAAAGTTCTGCCCTTAGGGAGGAGTAACACCAACCAACAAGCAGGAAAGGAGCTTGGGAGGATCTGGGGGGTCCTGGTGGTTACCAAGCTGATCATGAGACAGCAATGTGCCCTTGCTGTTAATGGTGTCCTGGGCTGCATTAGGATGAGCATTGCAAGCAGGTAGAGGGATGTGATCTTTTCTCTGTATTCAGCTCTGGTAAGACATCTTGAGTGCTGGATTCAGGCTGGGGCTGTGTCCAGGTCAGGGTACAAGGAATATATGGATTTACTGGAGCTAATCCAGTGCAGGTACATGAAGGTGATGGAGGAGCTGGAACATGTCTCATACAAGGAAAGGCTAGGAGGGCTGGAAGTGTTCAGCCTGGGGAAGTGGAGGCTCAGGGGATCTCATCCATCTGTACAAACACCTGAAAGGAACACATAAAGAAGGCAGAGCCTGGCTCTTCTGAGTGGCATCCAGTGGCAGGACATGAGGCAGTGGTCACAAACCGAAACTGCAAAATTCAATCAGTGCAAGAAAACACATTCTTTTTACTGTGGAAATGGTCTAAGCACTAGCCCAGATGGTCAAAGCACAGGTTGCCCAGAGAGGTGGTGGAGTCTCTGTCCTTGGGCGTATTAAAAATACAACTGGAAACAGACCTGAGCAATGTGTTTTGCTTGACCCCACTTCGAGCAAGGAAACTGGACTGAATGATCTCCAGAGGTCACTCCTTACCTCAACTATTCTGTGGTTATCCTTAAATTAAATCTTAGACCTCTGGGGTATTTCATCTTTCTCCTTTTCCCACCTGGGGAGGAGAAGGTATTTAAAAGACCATATCCCAGTCTTATAAGTGAAGTTACTGTATTCCAAGTTGCAACCAGTACCTTATTTTGCAGGCATATGTGTGAGTTTATTCTGCCTCTACTCTGGGTGAATCAGAATCTGCAGCTTCCGAGTTAGTGTTGCACTGAGTCAAAGCTAATAAACCCTGCTTAGGTGCAGAGTTTAAGGGGTTGTTTTTTATACTGTATTATCAAGGCAGTGTGGTTTCTTACTGGCTTGGAGAGCTGCCTGTGGTGTGCCCTATAGACAAATTATGTATGCTAGAGAGGACAGGTAATGCTCTTGCAGAAGCTGAAATTCCTGGATTTGAAGTGCAAGCTCCTGGGTCAAATTTAATATTTCTGATAATAGTTAGATCTTGATAATTAACATTTTTAATTTGCTGTAGATATAAAGTTTTAAAATGGTAACAAATTATTAATAAAGTACAGATAATGACAATATGTAAGTAAATTGGAAGTATTTTTCTAAATGACATGTGAGGATATGTATAGATACAGTTCTCAACGTGTTTTTCCAAGATAATGTGATTTGGGTTTGAGGGAAGTGCTTTTAAGCTGTTACTCTTGACACCACTTGTCTTTCTGTGGGTTGTTTTGCAAATAGTTTGTTCAGACAAGCACCTAAGAACATTTATGAGAACACTCTATTCTGAGTTATGTCATTTGTGGCCAGGTCACAAGACTTCTGTTGTGAAATGTGTGGCACATCTATGAAGACAGCCCTTTTACCACTAACATCTGGAAGAGTGTCAAGCCAGGCGGACAAGGAGGCTAAAGAACTTGCCAGACAAATTAGCTTCAAGGTGAAGTCACCATTTTAAACTTTCATCTTTGTTGTGTAGAATTAAAAAAAAAAAAAAAGAGGGAAAGCTTTATAAATTCAGAAACATTCATCATTTCATAAACCTTCATCAGTCACTCTGTGGAAATCTGTTTTTTTTAGGACAGTCTGAAAGGGAAAAATAGAAGTGGGTCTTTTGCAATGTACCAATTAATAAATTGTGCATCTCAAGCACTGATTGATTAGTTTTAATTTCAGTGGCGAGCACTGTGGTAAGAACTGCTTAACTATGTCACTTTTACTTCCTTGTTTTCAGTCACTGACAACTTGATTAAATTCTCCAGAACTAGTGTTATCATGAAAGTATTAGGAAACTTTGGGCAAAGCTAACCTAATTTTTTTTTTTCCTTTGTGATTTTTTTTTTTTTCTTCTTTTGGCTTATGGAAGGAATAAAACATATTCCTACTGAAAAATGATTGCAAATTCTTTTGAACTACTCTGCAGCTGAAGATACTGAAAGTTGAACTCTGGTATGGAAGTTGCTGTTACCCAAAAATGTGTTCTGTAGCTTGTGTTTCACTGAAAGTAAGGTTTGTTCAGTCATATACGTGCCTTAGAAGATTGCATGTCTTGCATGCACAGGGTTGTTTTTCACTGGGTTTTCCACTAAACTCTTAAATCAGCCACTAAGGAAGACTGCTGTGCATGAGGGCAGGAAACTACAGTGGAATATAGTATCACAATGTGGCATTGGTGATGGATAGATACTAAGGTCAGGGGTGCTAATATGTCCCCTTTTATCACCAATGTTCTCCTTACAATGTCCTAAAGACTGCTTTTTTTTTTGTGTCTGTGCCATGAGAATAAAGATTGCCTCCTACTGAGCAGGACCTGCATATTTCTGTGCAATCTCACATCTAGCCATGTTGATGTGGTTGGGTCTGTGTATAATAATGCTTATGAAAAAAAAGTCTCAAAAATCTTTGAAAAGATGAGGAAACAGTTTTGAAGTTAAGCTACTTGGAAAAGCAATGGACTGCCTGCTCCTGGCTTTTTTCACAAGGGTTAAAAACTGCATTTTTATTTAAGAACTGTTAATATTCATCACAGAAATTCTAGAAATATCAGAGTATATATTTCTTTTTTTTTTAGGAAGAACTGTTACATTTCATACCTTTTTCAGTTTTAAAATTACATACTTAAAGACATTAATCTCTAAAGAATATTGGTGTGTTCCATGTATCCACATATTTAATTCTACATCCTAATTACAAGCACTAAGCAAAGGAGAAAAGAACAAAAGGCTTGGGTTTCTACAGTCTTCTGCAATCCATTGTGGGGTTTTTACAAGGTGAAACAGTTCTGTCTTCTGGTTGCGCCTTCCCTCCCTTTCTCAAATTAATTTTTAGGGATTGAGTTCTTTTAAGCTTCCTGCTTCTCTGCTTTGCTTGACTTTATTATTGTTTGTTTGTTTGGTGTTAGGCTAAGGCATTCCATTCATGTGTTTGTAGTAAACTAATCATATGAATTACTAGCAGGGAGTTCAAAAGGTAGGAATCATTTGATATATTCCATGTCAATTTATGGGGTAAGATTTAACATCAGATACCTGACTGAGTGTGTAATTTGAGAGCACCTTTCTACTAGCAAACATACTAGCAATTGCTGCTAGTGAAAAAGAGATTTCCTAACTTTTTCTGGATGATCCTGGGATTGTGAGAAATCATTTCATGTTTAAGCAAAATGGTAACTTTTAAGAAAATACCCATGTGTATTATTGAGGAAGGAATATGAAATTCAGGAGGAAAAATTAACAAAGCACACTTCCTCATTATAGTTTTCCTGCTTCTGTGAGCCTTCACCTTTGTTCCTCACTGTTTGAATAGGAAATTACTTCTTTAAAATCAGCTTTACATTGACATGTAAATTGTTTTCTGCACTTTGAGAGCTCCACTCCACTTAAAAGCAAAAAAGGAAGGTAGATGACTAATAGCATATGCATTACTGTAAACCAACATGGTTTACCTACATGTTGCCATCACAAGGCGTATCTTGCCATGAAACTAATTCTCCACGTACCATCATTATTACATTTAAATATATTTTTTTTTTCTTTTTTTTACCCTTGATGATGGTGTTGTCTCAGTTGTCTCAGTTTTCTGGAAGCACAGGTAAAGGCTGAAGAAAATAGATACTGGGTGACAAAAAAAGATATTTCAGTTTTAGGAACTTCCAAATGTTCTATTTTCTTGAATTTTAGTCCAAATTCAGTCTGGCACACTAGACTTAGTACTTTCATAAATGAAAGTAAATCAGATGAACATTTTTTTAGTGTATATGTTTTATAAAGCTTGAACTCTTAGAAAAAGCAGAAGTATGAAAAGCAGTGGTCACAGGTTCCGGGGAGGGAACATCCAACTGGATATGGGAAAGGAAAATTCAGCCTGTGGCTTTTCAGATGCCTATCAGAAGATGTGGAATCTCCAGCTTTGGAGATGGCTGAACATGACTCTGTTTTGAGGAGGGAACTGAACCAGGTGACATCTAGAGATCCATTCCAGCTTAAATTATTCATAATCCTGTGTTGTTTCATTGCTGGTCCATGTTTGAGTCATAACTTGTCTTATCCAATGTTAGAATATTCAAGTGCAAAAGAATAGCAGCGTCGTCAGATTGTGGTTTTAAAACTTAATCTCCAGGTTGTTTCAGTGATGTATTTTTTGGCTTCTCCTGAGATAAATTCCCTTCTTCTTGGCGTGTATTAATTTCGCAAAAAATAGAATCAGGAAAGAATATTATTATTTTGTGCTCTTATCCTCTTGTTATCACCATAACTGGTTGGTTTCTAATACTTGGTTTGTATTTCTTACTACTACTACCACTACTTATATCTGCATTTGAAGACAAGCGTTAGATTTGGAATTGTCAGCTTTATAACAAATTGAGATCCAGATATATGACTTGGAAAGTGACTTCTTTGCTGATAAAAATTGATCTGGTCATGATTTTTTTTATGTATAAATTTAAAAGAGTATCGGTGGAGGACTATGATTCTATGTCCTTGTCTATTCCCAAGAGATTATTGCAGGCATATATATTGTCGTAACAAGAGGTTTCTTCAGGATCCTCTACATGTCACTGCTGACTGTCTCAATTTCCAAAAGCATGAAATGTAAATTCTGGGAGTTGATGCTCATTAGACATTTTAAAAATGTGTACAAAAGCACTATTACAAGACTTAGGTTTGTGTTGGTTTTTTGTTTGTTTTGCTCTGCTTTTGCTGAAATTTAAATACTGGAAATTAAGGCATACGTGCCTGACATAGTGTAGTGCCCTGCATGTATGCCCACTCTGGCTGTGAGGCAACTGCAGTACTGGAACCACTATAGCCACATTAAGTTAGCACTTACCAGGGACTAGTTAGCCCTGCTGGGAAACAGGCTATATATGCTTTTACTTTTAACAGTAGTAGTCAGCATTCATTTAAGGACATGAGAAACAGAAGGTTTAAAAAATGGTGTTACTTCTGGCATTATGTCCTGGATCTTAGAATCATAGAATAGTTAGGGTTGGAAAGGACCTTAAGATCATCTAGTTCCAACCCCCCTGCCATGGGCAGGGACACCTCATGCTAAACCATCTCACCCAAGGCTTTGTCCAAAGATTTCTGAAGAGTTTTCTTTTTTACTCTATACATCTGTGCATTTTTTCAGTGTTATGCCTGTTACATGAAAACAAAATTTTTACTTAAGACTACAGATGCACAAGCATAAGTTTATTTCTAAAGATAATTTCTTAAGCCTGTTGATGTGTAATTGAAATGCAATTGGCATACTTGATTATTACATTTCAGTAAGTCTTATATTCTGTGTATGTTAAAATACACATTCCAAAATGAGCCAGACCTTTTTGGAGCAATTATGGTCTTGTTTCTGAAGCCTACATATGTACTCCTTGTAGGCAGAAGTCAATTCATCCAGGAAGTCTGATGCTGGACCCTCAAACACATCAGGATTGAACTACTCTGCCGCTGATGAGCCCCAGCAGGGTGGTGCAGCTAGAGCACTCCAGGACCCAACAAATGCAACGGTATGGTCTGTTTTTGAGCTTTATCATTGCAAGTTCAGCCATAGTTTGAACATGCAGTCGGTACTATTAAGCTGATTGGAGGCTTCATTAAGAGTATGTACTTTGTACTTGTTTCTTTTAGAATTTGTGTACTTTTATATGTGTAAACTGTAGCAAATAGCTTGCTGAATCACTTTTAGAAATAGTGATCTCTTTACTTCCTTCTCTTAAATTAAAACAACAAATAATACTCTTTTAGCAGTCTTGTTCCCACTAGTTCCTTTAATGTATGGGTTAACAGTCCATTAAAATGATATGGTGTCTGAAGTACTACAATTTACCATCTGCATAATACAAGATTTTGGACTAGAATTCTTAGCCAGAGGCAAAAAAAATGTTTCAGTGATAATTTGTAGCACTTAAATATTAATTAAGAATATCTTCCTGGTTTTTATAACTTCTTAAGTGAATCTAAAATATTCTTACTGTTTGAAGTATAACATTTATGATTTAATACTGCTAGGTGTACGGCTTACATAAGGTTTTGGAAGTGACCGAGGTCTGGTAGTGGGCCAAGGCAGCTGCTGTTATGACTGTGGCAACTGCAGTCTAAATTCACTGCTAAATTGCAGGCAAATCCCAGCTAAGCTGGCTCTTTTAGAGAGGATGGGGCTGCAGATCGGTTGAAAAACCTAAACCACGTCAAATAACGTCAGACCATCTGTTGCATGTTGGCAGCATATTTTCTAGCTATGTGGAAATATAAACATGCTAATAGCGTACTTTTTTCCTACAATAAGGATTTTTTCCAGATTGTTTGGGATTTAATAAACCATTTTATTTTATTCTTATTACAAATCCTGGCTAATATAGTAGAACTAACCAAAATACCAAGGCATTGCTGGCATCTGCTTGAGGAAAGAGGCTGATTTTTTTAATTTTTTTTTTAAATTCAATTTCTAAGAAATGTCTTTTAATCATTTATGCAGTTTTAATAATTAAAGATTAACTTCATTTTCAGCAGAACAGTCCCAAGCGAAATGAGATATTTAAACATGTAAATTTATGTAAAGATATTTAAATGTGGTGAACTGTAAATGATGAAAAGTGGATTCATGCTTTAAGGGGTCAGACTGTTATGCTCATAATTGTTAATTTGAGTTTGAAGCAATACCTGTGTTTCTGAGCTGCCACATTTTGAGTGTTAGGTATTTTCTGGAGCCATTAGGAAGTGAAAAGTTAAAGCCACACTGTGGAATAAAGAATTGTGTAACAGGAAAGACTGCTTTAAAGAATTTCAGCTGTGTTCTTGTGAAAGTAAATAGAACTCTTCTCAAAGTAGGGGGCCAGAGGCATGAAAGAAGAGTATCTATGCAAACCTTGGATTCTTTGTACTCAGCTTGGCTTCTTGCATGTGTAAAATCAGTTTGTTGGATTAGTTCTTGTGTAGAGACCTAATTCTGCCTTACAAAGTTTTAAGTGTTGAATGAGGGGAACATCAAAACTATTTGTTACGTTTCTTGGATAAAGTGTTTACCACTTATTCTACAAATGTGTGTTTTAATTAAAAGCTACTGCAGAAAATTTGCTCTTGTGAACTTGAAATTTATTCCCTTTGACAGCAAAAAGGGCAGAGGTAGACCCACCACCCTCTCACAACCTACATTTAATGTATTGCTGTGGAATGATGTTCCACCTTAGTGTTTATAGTTGATGAATAAAGCTGATAGTTAGTAAGAATTATAAAGTTACAAGTTAAAGACTGTGGTTAGACTTTTTTTCTGATAACCTGGAAATACATTAAGCCTCAAAACACTTGTTATTAAGCAATATACTGTAGCAGTGTCCTGCACTAATGTACTGGCTGGCTGAAATGTAATAATGAGGAGTGATGAAATAAACAGTGTAACTGAAGTCAACTAATCTTGAACTGATGAGGGACCTTTCTGTAAAAAAATGAGGCTGTTATGATACACAGGATTTATAGAAGCCCTTATTTTTAATCATGTGTTCTGAATGATATGTTGTGAAAAAGTTACTTCCTTTTATCACTATTAAGCCGTGTCTTAAGTTCCCTAATACTGCAGCAACAGTTTTAAATGACAATCGGGAGTACTTGGCCCAACTTTGATTCATTAAAAACCAGACGTTTTTCTTGTTAGCTGTTAAGCCATGCTGTGCCAAACTTCAGCTGTTCTTCATTTGGAAGTTGCATGGGCAAATAAGTATTTCACTGGTCCTTCTGTCTTTTTTTGATATCTCTTAGATCATGAGTTTAACTGAGAGAGGCTTCAGTAACCCAGAGGATTTATATAGTTCTGAGCTCCTAGAGTTGTTATATTTTTAAAACATCCACTCTAAGGTGATTATTTAATTCTTCCAGCATTCTGATAAAAATTTTTAAAATAACAGCCTGCACACATAAATGATGCAGTGAATGCTACCATTCTTCAGTAGGCTGAACATCAATTCCTTGCTTGTGCTTTGTTATAGAACTTTTTGTTAAATCTAATGTGTGTTCATTTTATTGAACTAGCCTTACTCATCAAACTGCAATTTCCCTGAAGCAAAGTTTTCCACCTGTCCTAACAGTTTCAGAAGCTTCAGAAATACTGCGATACATTAAGTGCATATTCAGTGACTGTAAAGATCACATGCTAAAGGTGGCTACTGCGTAGCTCTTATAAAACATTTTTAGTCTGTTAAGCCTTCATCACCAACATTTCCAGTATAGTTTGGCAGAAAATGACTTAAAATTGGATGGAAGTTGTCATGTGAGATTTTGTTAGTCTAAAAATCTCAAATCTCAACATTTTTGCTTAAGGAGAATTTAAAAACTTGCCCAAGTGAAGACAAGAAGATTGATTTCATTTTTTTTCTTTTTTTTTTTCTTTACCATGTAATACAACTCATCTGTCATTTTTGGCAGATTCTTAACATTTTGGGATTCTTAGCAATTAAGTCTTCAAACAAAAAATCTTTATATTATGAGGATTGGGCCAGACTCTTGTCAGTGGTGCCAGGTGTTAGGACAAGAACACAGCATTAGCACATAAACTAAAATACAAAGTTGCACCTGAACATGAGGAAGAACTTCTTTACTGTGAGGGTGACTGAGTATTGGAATAGGTTGCCCAGAGAGGTTGTGGACTCTCCTTCCTCAGAGATAGTCAAGAGTTATCTGGACACAAGTAATGTGCTTTAGGTGACCTTGCTTGGGCAGGGAGGTTGGACTTGATGACCTGTGGTGGTCCCTTCCAACCTCAACAGTTCTGCAATTCTGAATATTTAAGATACATTAGTGTCTGGTCCCAAATTTATACCGGGTAATAATCACTCCTTCCTTATCTATCTTGCTTCTGCATGTCTGCTAATACTTTGTCATTGATTATGCTGGGAATCCCAAGGCAGTGGGTTAGCTCAGTTTTGCGTGAGGCAGGCAGTCTTCTGCAGTCCTGATGCATATATATATATAGTTGCCTCCAAAAAATAATTTCAAGCCTTGCAATCGTCAGTGAGGTTTCTCTTGAATCACAGTTCCATTAATGTCAGTGTGTGGCACTGTGTCTCATTCAGAACAGGACCTTTCTGATCTATTTTTAGATTTAAAATTTTGAAAAGAAACCCAGGTGTGTGGTAGCCAGAGCTAGTTACTTTTGTTAGTAAGTGTAAAGGGTCAGAAATATTTCTAGACTCCTTTTTTTTTTTTTTTATTCCTTTTTCTAAAGCTGGTTTAACAACACTTTGCCTGCTGAATTTTGCTGGTTTTGCTTCCTGAATGAACTTTTCTCCCTCTCCTCTTCTGAAAGATGGGAGTGTAGATGAATCTAGGAACTTCATTTGTCAAATGCTCAATTTCTCTGAGTCTTTATTTCCCTTGGCATGAGAAGCTTCCCAGTGGGTTGTCTACGAAGCAGGGTGACTTTCTCCTGCAGTGTAATGGAAATCATGGCAAGCTGCTCGTGACGTTGTTCTTGGCTGTCTCTGATGATAAAATAACATTTTTCTTTGAAGCTACCCAAGCTGCTTGTTTGCTTAGGCAAGAAACCCGTGTAAACAGGCAAGTTGTCAAATGTGTAATTACATCAGTGCTTCTATGTTGATGATAAACACTGGATAATACTAATGATGAGGAGGTAGGAAAGGAACATCTCTTCCCTGGGCTAGTCAAATACTGACTAGGTGAAAATTTGGATTTCTTCTCCTACATGCAGAATATGTGGCCGAAGAGTCACAACAGCACCATGTCTTGTGGATCAACAAGTCTGGTACACAGTTGAGGACATTCCCTGCCTGGCCATGTGCAAAGGATATCTTTTGTGGATATAGTAGCTGGCCAGTGCAGAACTTAGGGTTGTAGATACTGTGTCTGTTAAAAGGCTTTTGCTTGGAAGTAAATATGGAATGTCTGGAATTCTAGTTTTACCTGCTGTAATGATAATCTTTTAGAAGAGGGGAGGGGGGAGAAAGCTAACTCTGGAGAATAGATGCAGGGAATACCTGCAGACTATTCTGAGAAGTCAAAGGATGACTTCAGATTAATAACTTTGTGTCAGAGGTACTGTTTTTTAAACGCTTTAAAACTGAAACTTTGGCAAAATGTTTTTTTCCAACAAATATGCTATGTCACTATTTTTAATACTAAAATGTCAGAAGTATGAGCCTTTCAGTATTGCAGGGAGGATTAGGACAGTGGAATATTGGAGCCCATAGTTTCAACCTTGCAAACTGGAAAATTACTTTATTTAAATAATACTCTTCTGAGCTGAACATCAGTTGCTAATATTTATTTTGTTCACTGCTTATAATGGCAGAGCAATGTTTGACCAGTAGAGGGCAATAGGTATGTGCATGCACAAGTACCGTGCTCAGTAGTTCATGCTGGAATCACGTAGGTGTTTTGTGTTCAGGATTTTTTGTTTTGTTTTTTCCAGCGGTGTTGGTGGTGATGAGAACAGAGTTTTGGACCCAGCTGTCCACAGTAAGCAGTGCAGCATTGCTTAGTTATAGTTCTCTGGACTTCTTTCAAGTTGTTTCCTTTTCAGTATTAGGTGATGGTATAAATCCTCAGAGACTAAACTGTCTGGAGGACTATTAAAGATATATTGAACTGCAGAGAGCTAAGCAAATTGTAGACAGAGATATTTGAAATCTCGTGATTTGGAAACAATCTAGAATTCAAGTACTGTTTGACAGACTTTCTTCCTTAAAAAGAATAAAGTCCTTAAAACTGCTAATTTGCAGCTTGAAATAGACTTTTCAAGACAGTGTTTGTACAAAATGATGTCTGTAACAATCTTGTAATTATTAGTGACATGTATTATCAGGCTTGCAAGTATTAACAATTATCTGAAGAGTGCGTTTTAGTCCTAATGATTTTGATCCTTGCTGATCTTACATAGTGTCTTGCCTCACAACTCTCCGTGTTTCCTTTTTAGTCTGAAACCCAGAACAGCAGTGCAGCAGCCAGTCAAGAGTGTACTCCTTCAGTGTCCACTAATACGTCTATGAGTCCTCGGCAGCGCCGTGCCCAGCAGCAGAGTCAGAGACGGCCTCCGTCTTCAACTGACTTTAATCGGGTACAGCAACCAAGAGTCAACATGAACCACACTGGATCAACTGTTCTGATTGTCCTTCTGACTCTTGCATTGGCAGCTCTCATATTTCGTAGAATATGTTTGGCTAATGAGTATATATTTGAGTTATAATTAATTTGGTTTGTCCTAACAGCAGTGACCTGAATGCGTCATTGAACATTCTGTATTGGGTATTTGGTATGATATGAGAACTGTTTACAAAGATTACTTTTTGTATTTATGCTTAAATCGTTACAAATGTTAATGTACGTGCAGATACGTTACTTGTAAGAAAAGCAAAGTTGTACTTCTAACTACAACAAGTGTTAATTGAGTGCCCACTAGATACTTGGATGTGGGAGAGGAAGGGAGTCAATCTGAGTAATTTATCAGCTAGAAAAAGGCAACTTAAAAGAAGTGGTTGATTCACTTTTTTAATGGAACGTAAATGCAATTAATCATGTCTAAGTTTTAAGATTTGACATTGGAGAAGTAATTATGAAATGAAACACAACTACGTGTTTGTGTCCAGTGAACTCTTAATTTAGATGGGAGACAGTTTGGTAACCACTTTTATTTACCATGACACATTTCTAGAGGGGGAACACATGCAAATTGGTTGTGATGCTGCTTTGTGTGTGTGAAAGGGGAAAAGGATTGTAGGGGAGGTAAGAAGGGGCCAGAAAGCTACTTGTATTTTGGTTTTTATATTTTGGAAGAAAGATCGGATAATCTTCCACAAGATTTGAATGTTCTCTTCTAATAGTCTCAAATGTATATCTTGTTTTCTTAAATTTGAAGATTATATAAAACATGTCTATTCTCACGATAGTTATAAATATGTAATATAATTATTTACCCAGAGCTATTGTCTTTTAATTATACCAGAAATACACATAAAGTGTTGAACTGAATGTTTCATATGTGGTTTTATTTACTAAAGAATATTTGAATGTTGTTAAACTCTCATATATATGAACACGTTTAAGAGAAATATTTATTAAAACCCCGGTAGTAATAAACAGTTTCAAGCCACTCTTCAGATACGTTTCAAGTATCACATAGCCTTTGTGTGTGTGGTTTTTCCTGCACATGTTTTGTTGTTTGTGGTTTGTATTTTTTTTTTTTAATTTAAAATGATTATTGGACCCAAAGGCTTTCTTATTATTAGATTATGAAAAAAAGAGCTGGTAATATTAATGAATGCTCTGAAAGCACATATACAAGCAATAGACATACAATTGTTTGGGTTTTGAGAGAAGAAAGCAATCAGTGGGATAATTTTCTTCTTGTATTATTGTTCAGCTTTAAGTGCATTCTAGCATGTTTATTTCAAAGGCAGTGAAATTTAGCTAACTTCCATTTCATTGCTGTCAAACATGACAGCACTGATTTAAGTGACATTCTTATCCTGTTTCTCAGCAGAAATGATTTTGTTATATATAGCGTGTACTAGTGTTTCGGAATATTAAAGTAGCTATAACAACTTCTAAAATAAGGAAAGCCCACTGTATCCAAGAGTGGTGTGAAAATGAGGGAAAGAAAAACCAAAATCCAAATAACCAAGTTCTTTTTTTTTTTTTTTTTTTTTTTAGCTCTTCGGGTGCATTGTTTATAATGTTTGCAGGTACAATGGAACAAAAATCAAAAGTACTCCTGTCTGACCTTTTCAGAACTATGTAGTTTGTTCAGCCAGTTCAGCAGTTACTTGCATATTGTGCTGCAAAACAACTTGATGTCAATATACTGATGTATATTGATGTTTTTACCTAATTTGTATATCATCTCATTAGACGTTAAAACCCCCAGAACAACACACCAAACCCCACAGAATGCCTCTCCAGAGTCTGTAGCCTCTAGAATACAAGTACCGTGTTTCCTAGGCGATACGTTGTTTGAATACCTGTTCTGTTAAAGTACTGCAAACCTGGGCACATGGAAGAGAGCTCTGGTAAGAGGTCTGATCCAAAAGGCAGCTGTGCTGGGTTTTGACTCTCTAGCTCCTCTGGAAGCTTTGCTCTGAAAGTGCTTTTCTTTTCCTAGAGCCTCACTGCTGTGCCGCGCAAACTTTTGCTCTGGTACCTGTACCACACACTGACTATTAGTAAAGCCACAGAATCCACAGGCGCAGTCTGCATTGCCCTTTGAAGTGGCTATGAGGGAAATAAGTGTTATGTGGTTTTTGAAAACAACCTCCTCTTTGCGATTAAAGAAACAGTGCTTTGTAACTTCATTTTTATTTCCATCTTCTCTAATGAAAGTACAAATGCCTGATTCTGCAAATACCTATTTGAAAAAATAAATATTAATGGTGACTTTATGTAGAGTCGATTGCATGTATAGATACTTTGGGGGTTATGTGTTTTGAAAGTTAATGGTAAATAAAGTAGTCATTTTCAGAGGAAATAACTCATCTTTTTATCTTCAATGGCATAAAAAGGCTGAATCAGAAAATAAAATCTCAGCTGCTATAAAACCATCAAAGCATATATGTTTTACAATTATATAGATGTCTGAAATGTGGCACAGGTGCCTTCCAGTTGAAAAAGATTCCATGCAAAGAAGCAGAAAATCTGGAAAGCCTGGTGGACAGGGACAGCCTGGTTATACAGACTACAGGAGGATAGCCCTGTTCTGAGATTAGGGGATTGAGCAAAAAGCCGGCGTGCAGAATTGCGGGTGTTTTTTTTACGTAACAGCTTTAGTAAATATCCTTTAGGACCCAGTGGAAATGTTTGGTGAGGCAAACTTCATGAGTAATGGCCAATCGTTAAGTGGTGATGAGGGAAAAGCTGGGAGTGAGAAGCCCCTGAAAGCCTGTCAAAAGCATCACGTCGGGAAGGCAGCATTTCTGCCGCCGATTGCCGGCGAACACGCAACACCGGAATTAAGAGTTGATTCAATGTTTAAAGCCGGGGGGACTGGTGCTGCAGGAGGTTACTGGAGTGGAGTGTGCCCGGCTCCTGTTACCAGCAGGATGCCTTATTTTGCAAAACTGCTTTTATTAATCTTCTGCTTAGTTCTTCTTGTGGAAAGCAGAAAGCACAGGAGGAGAAGGTGGACAAGCCAGCTGGATGTGCAGAGGGCAAGGTAAAGGTTATTAAACCACCTGTGTTTCTTTTCCTGCAGTGTTACAAATACTACACAGACCTTAAGATCTGCCCTGTCTGTGTCTTTTTGTGTGCAGTGTATGTGGAAGCAGCTTCATATATGTTTTTATAATAGTCTCAGATAGAATAACCAGTTTTAACTGTAAATGGATGCATTTAATGCTAATGTTAGTTAACTCTTAGTGAGGCAAGGTTTTGCAGAGAAGCTGACTGCTTCAGCATGGACTGTGGTCAATGTATTCTTAGCCCTATATGTGAATTACTGAGAGAATGTAGAGAAGCTGCAATTAATAGAGATGTTCAAATCTACACACTGTTTCAGCACTGTTTCAGGAGCACATTATTTACCCTGCTTGCTGGAATATCTGTGCTACTTATTTCACTTAAAGTTGCCTGTTATTTTCTAACAATCTGAGGTGGGAATGACGGTTAGCATGCATGATACTGATTAATAAGAAATAAATCCCTGGAGGTTATCCTGGGATCATAAAATCAAAAGCACATTTTGAAGAACTACATTTTAAAGTCCAGCAAAGGCACAGGAAAGAGTTAAAGGTCTTAGTAAAGTTTATTAGATTTACTATTGCTGAGATTTGACCAGCGGTTTACATTAGAAAAGATAATCTTCCAAACCTGTCAGACAGTCCAAAGTATGTTATCCTTTTTTGTAGTTATGTCATCCAGTGGTAGTTATATCTTACAAGACTGCTCATTGTTCGAAGGGCTCAAAAATAAAATTGGGTTAATCCACCTTATTAAATGGCTTCACTAAGGCTGTAAACCTCCATGGTTTAATTTATTTTCATTCATTTGTTTGGTTTAACACTCAATACTTTTATAGGGAGTGTTGTTAATTGAACATCTTGCAATGAAATGTTGTGATATAGTTGAAAGCAAAGAATACCTAATGTGCTCTGGTTTATACTACTTATTGAGAATCTACAGTAGCATATGCTGTTAGTGACGTAAATGTTATAAAGCTGAAACAGCTATGACCTGATCCTGAAATCCTAAAGCCAACTGAAGTTTTACCACTGATTTCCATAGAATTGCTGTTATGGAATGAGATCTTTCATTTAACTCTGAAGTTTTTTCCAAATCTCTGTTCTGGAGAATGCAGGGGATTCAGCAGTAGCATTTCCTTGCAAACCATTCACATGTAGTAGAGATCGTCTACTTTGAAGGACCAAAATAGTATAAATCATTCTTTTGCCCCAGAGTGATGCCATTCTCTGGGTTACAATTGCTTGAATCTTTGATACGTCATTTAAACACTGAAAATTATATACAATTTCTACAGTGCTGTTAGGAAGCTGTGATAAAGTGGAAGTCAAAGCACTGCTGAAATAATTTCTATAAATTAATTTACTGTAAAGAATGACTGCTATTATTTGGTTTCCCGTGGAATAATGGCTTCAATGAACAGCTAGGTAGAATCTGAGCAACTATATACCTTATATATTCACACACGTTATTTATATGTATATATACGCATTTCATATGCAATATACTTTGAAAGTATATGAAATCAAGTTTTAGCACATCCCTGCCCATGTCAGGGGAGTTGGAACTAGGTGATCTTAAGGTCCTTTCCAACCGTAATTATTTTATGATTTTGTGAAATGTGAATGACGTTTTAAATACAGAAAATTCTGCAATATTAAAAACTGTATTGAGTAGTGACATTGATATTTCAAATTCCCAGTTATGTATAAAAAGAATATAGTTGTGTCTAAACCAGCAGTGAATAGTGGACTCTTCTAGTAAGAGGAAATGAAAACCAGTTCCTATGCTGTTTCTTTAATCATGTAAAAGAAATGAGTGTCCTTTTTAATAATTTCATCACATTTTCTATTTAGTATTTCTCTTGCTGCCTTACCACAAGAAGTACAGTAAATTTTACAGTAAACATATTAGCCAAGAAAATGCATTCTGATGTTTGGGAATCTACATGTAATAAGTTTGACATTTTGTGTCCTTTAAGGTGATACAGCAGCCTGATCTGGTGATATTTATATTGATTTCAAGAAGCTAGCTTGGGTTGTGCAAGTGCAGAACATCTTCAGTTCTGCAGTTCATTACTTGAATGCTGCATAGAGGTTCTTTGCCATGGAGCTTTGAGGGCCTGGGTACCTGGTCCTGCAGGCAGTGAGACAGTAATCTGCTAAGTGTACGCAGAAGTGCACTGTTGAGCCTGTGCCTGCATGGGAAAGGAATATGGCAAAAGGCAGGTTAGGG